GTAGTGGGTAATAGACAGGTAGGCACCTTGTCAACATGCACATCAAGCGCAGCCACACCGGGGATATCCAACGACAGCCAATCACCTGAAACGACAAGATGAAATAAAACAAATCCAATGATGCATACAGATACGGTGGCATAACTCTTCCCTAAATTAGCATATGAAGTAAGTTGGTTAGCAACGAATCCGCGATAAGGAAAAAATGTCCACAAGTTAGTTAAAAATGCTACAAACGCAGCAAAGTTACCGAAGATAAGCGCAATTAGTGTGAGCAATGTGGTCAGTTAATAGAAGATTATTCAGGTAGGCAGAACAAACCGAAAAAAGTTAAATGAAATTTAGCCAGGTTAAAAAGACCTAGTTTAAGTGTAAGTTGGTTTAGCCGAACTGCGGTGAAGAAGCATCAAAAATGCAACATCAGTCTCAGCATGGAGATCGAGCCATTAAAAGAATCATGGAAACCAAAAGAGGTGCAGCTTGAACACATTTTTGTTCGTTTTGCACACGCCAATTTTTTCGCTTTTGTTATGTTCACTGATAGATTGAGCAGGTGAATAAATACAACTCTGTACAGGGCTTTTCCACTAATTCCTTTTGCACGCCATGTTTTCAAGCGTGTTAAGCCACAGGCACACTTCAGCCTTGGGCCCCATCCAGGAAAACCTACGAATCCAACGGCGGCTAGACGTGATGACAGCGATTTCATGTGCTGTCGTCAGGTGGAAGGCTGACCGTCACCCGGTCGCCTCCAACACTGTGCTGAACGAACGGATGGAGCGCGGCGTAGCAAACGCCCAGGCGCCATGCGTAGGACGTGACCGATTCATTTCAACTGGCGCAGAAAAACCATATTGCTGCTATGTAAGTCAGCGAATGAATCCCTTAAGCGTGCTTGGAGTCTGACGAATTCATGCAGATGTTCAATACCGTAGGCTGTTAGGTGGTTTTCGACTAGTTTTGATATTCTGGTAAGCATGCTCGCTTACTAAAATACCGGCAAAAGGAAGTGCGAAATAAGGTGCAGCTGAATGGACTTGGCCGTAAGTTGCTGCTGCTACGAAACCTATGGTGGTTCTATACTGTCGTGGAATTAGTGAGAACATAAATACCAAAGCGAATAATGTATGAACAACTGAGAGCAGAAAAAGAAAGTAATACAGATGGAGGATTGGTCAACAGGATATAAGCAAAATGAGTTGCTCACGAGCCAACGTTGGGTTCAGGCGTCGGAAAACATTATCGATCTCCCATAATGGCGTGAATAGTTCAGCAATGGCGACCAAAATACACGGAAAAGGGTCAAAGGGTTGAAAACGTGTGGCAGATGCACAGATATTCAAGGTACTTATCGATATCCACGTAGTGTTGCAGTGCATGTGGACGCATATGCCTCAGCCAAGCAAATCATCTATGTGGTCACGAAGTTTTGTGCCGAAAAGGTGATAATTAGACTAAATGTACAAATGTTAGCGCAAATGAAAGACGATGCTTCCGGGATGTTGCTAGATAACGACGTCGCAACTACTGTGAAACACTTGATGCATTGTCGCTGCAGTTGGGCTACCGGCAAGCACAAGTTGTCCTAAGTTTGATGCGTATTCCCACGTAATATGCCATATCTGGTTGCGCCTAAGGTACTGTAAGAGTCAGCAGGGTGGTTCCTCATACAATGAATCCAGTTCGATTGCTTGATCCAGGTAGGCGCTTATCGTTGATGGAGGAGTCGGGATTCATCGTCTTCGTGAGAATGCTAGGCTCCAGGATGGTTCCATGATGGAACGGGCTACTGCCCAGCCGTCACTCTTATATGCACGGTACAAATGGTTTACCCAGAACATCGGTAATGGGCATGTTGAAGGGATGTGAACCGACTCCGAATCAGTTGTGACACCTAGTAACATGCTATGTGACTAGTAAACTGAGCCTGCATTCGACACTGTGTGGATAAAGCTGCGAGTGATCCAGAGCAAATCGCTTACAATCCCTGTGTATGCGTATGCGTCCCGTAGCGATTCATTCTCACAGCGACAGGTAAATTTACGTAACTGATAGGGTCATTCATTACGTAGCGCCAGCTAACCGTGTCCACTAAGGTCAATCATACGTTGTGGGACGATAGACTGGTGATTAAAATTGCTATTTAACTATTCTGAAGTGAAACCTTTGCGTATGAGTTCTTATCGAGGACACAGTGTGGAAGTGAACAGTCATGATATCTACGCTTCCTCTTGACTGCCTCTTAGCACGGAGCTTCGCCTGAGTGGCTAAACTGTAATCATGAACGTAGAAGTATTTTTGATGAGGGTGTAGCCTTTTCAGTGTTTCCAGAAAGCCGTTCTGTATCCGCTTGTAAAAGGAGTGTTTGAAATGCAGTTAGAATGAACCGCTATTGCCAGCCGTAATGTGAGCGATAGACCAAGGGTTCATAGTCGTTATTGTCATTTTTATACTGTGTGAGCTAGCACATTGCTGTGTCAGATAAGCATGCCGCCTATATCGTGAATGAAAGCTTTGGACCCTGCTGATAGCGTAGGATAAAGCACCACTTCTTGACCACCTAGCAAGTTAAAATGGCCTTAGAAACATGTACTTTATGCTCTGGCATCGTCAGCGACTCCATAGCGACCACATAACGTTCCGCTAAGAAGGCGCAAAAGCACTGTCGATTATAGGTGAAGTATGGCCATAGCAACGGGAAAGGAAACAGGAAATTCATCCAAGTAAACAGATTAGGAAGAAGCAAAACCCCTAGGTCAAGAGCGTGCCTGAGTCTGTAGTCCCGAAGTAGGTGAGCTAATGCAAGGCTGAAAGGAGGATTATCAAAGAGGCTAGTCAGTTTAATACCACAAAAACTTGAGAAAATCGATGACCGAACCAAAACCTTACCGGTAAAGTATTCGATGGGAAATCTTCAGGAAGGTATAGCTGTACATTGAATATGCCCCCTGTGTAATAGCCGCTGCGGACGGAAATGATACCGCACCAAACTGAAAGAAGTAAGAGGAAGGCGTGGGAGAAACAGACCAAGAGGATCTTCAGTCGATGGCATGACAAACACCCCAGTGGGATGATGAGCTCGTAAAAGGTTGCTGTGAATTAGCGATGATGAAGAGAAAAAGCATACATACCACTCCGCTAGTATGAGATAGTTTTGTGTTAACATCGACCGAGTAAACAACATAATGCTGGTCGGTGACCTAGCAAGTAAATTCGCCAAGAGTTTCCGCAGGAAATATCAGAATTTCTGTAAAGTGATCCCATTTCAAAAACATACAGGCGGCTGAAAAAGTAATTTGATGAGATGAAGGGTCAACAAATATGGAGAGTCAATAGATGGAAAAAGTGACCGAGTAAAGCTGAAGAAATGAAAAGGCAGATGGTGGATTTCATCCGGTTTCGATGACGTTAATCCGTGTAAAGCGTGCTAAGCTAGCAATTCCCTCATCACAGTTGGAGGAAAAAATGAATGATCGCGGAACTAAGGGTTGCTCAGCGAACAGCGGAACTAATTGGAAAGAGGAATCAGGGATGTAGAACGGTCTCGTACACAAAACAGGGTATGGGTTCAGCCACAAAGGGCAGCAATTAACCGTGGCACAGCATGACCCACAGCGCGGTCGATGTCATTAGCCAGGTGCCGAAGTTGTGTGGGCGGGAACGGCACTTGTGGATGTAAAAAGAAATGAAGTTAAACAAAAACAGTACCGAAAGACCACGGACAGGATAAGAACGCTTAAAGTGTGAAAACAGAGGGAGCGTATGCTAGCTATTTGATGAAGACGAACAGATCAACATGGTATCTATCTTCCATCTAGGCAAGTAGCGAGAGAATCTTGCTAAAGTTGGTCTTCTTAATATTATGTGCCGAAATGAAGAGAAATGTCGATGCATCCTGTGATGAACCCAGTGTCTCAAAGGCTGGCCGTTCTACGTGTTACGAAACCTCTCTCTGGAGGATCGGATTAAAATGAAAAGGACTGTAAAGAAGCTACAAACTCGCCGGAATAGTGGTGAAACAAACCCCCCATATCGTGGACTCTTGCGTAGTTCGAAAGAATTCGAAAGCTCGGTGGAAGAATAATTCACATCAACCCCTGGGCAGAAAGGTACAAAAACGGACTGCGCGTGTTATCCGCTAAGTTCAGTCTAAGGAATAAGGTGCATGAGATTCAGTTGCTTACCTCAGAGACATCCAGGCCTATCATCTTCACTGAAACGAGTGTTTTCAGAAATCGCGGACATCACTTCTCCCTGTTCGAAAAACGGATCCCAGAGCGCATTTGGTTGTAACTATAAGTTACCATGATGGTAATTTTAAAGCTCTGTGATGTCATGTTCATGACGGATACAGACCACTCTTAGTCGATATTTTCCACACAGCACACAGCATCACACAGCGCGGGTTCGAGTTTGCGTAGAGTATTGATCGACGCTTGCAGTATCCTTAGCCCACTTGCGACTGGTGGTGATTGCGCGGCGGCGAAGCGTCCGTACTGCTTACCAGTGTACTGCTGATGCCACAATGAAGGCAAGGAATGTTTGGTGGTAGGAGATCTCAATACACCGGATGTTGATTGGGACTTATTTCTTTGTGATCGCCCATCGGTCTCCACTGATACCATCTTACTCGAAACTCTACTTGACTGCCTGTTCGTGTGTCCTCAGAATCTCGTACTCTCCCCGGCACAGTCAGATGTCACGAACTCAACAGTTATGCAACTCATCAACAAAAATAATCATTGTGCTGTTTCATTCAAATGGATACTCCGCATCACGACCCATCGCCAATGACGTTTCTGTAGTGACTTTTAGCGTGCAGTTATACTACATCTGAAAACGGCCACAAGCACTACAGATTGGAATATCCCTGAATACACACATCTTGACGATGAGTGCAAGCTTGTGCACTGCAAAATGATGTCACTAATTGAGCAGGTTGTTCCCGGTTCCTGTAGAAAGGACTTCACCAGAGGTCCATCTCGGAATGATCGCGAAATTGAGATCCATAATGAACAGAAAGCACAAATTATGGGGCCGCTTCAGGCTATTTCAATAGGAGCTCGATTACTCTTCCCACAAGACGGTCAGAAACGTTTATATTCCTATGAAAAGCCAGAGACGTCGATAATATAAACTGTCAATAGGGGAACACTGAAAGGATGCTAAAAATGAACTTCTCGTATCTGAAAGGAAGTACTGGAGTCTTGTGTTACTGCGAGTAAATGGCCCTACTTGACGAGGACGCTGAGAAAGCTAGTCCCTTGCCCAAGCAGTATGCTATTCTTTACGTTAAAGAAACTCCGTTCTGTGACTACAATAGCCGCTTTTCCCTCCCTGTTGGATCAAAGTGACATTAAGAACAATGCTGTGAGGAAATTTTTTTATTTAGATCCGTACTGTTCGCTCGGTCTTTATGGATTATACCCCTTATTCCAAAGGACTGTAGCGGAGTACACAGCCGTACAGGTTTGTCAGGTTTTTCGTCGCTCCTTTGAAGTCGGACGTCTTCATCTTCATATCGAGGAACTGAATGTTACCTCTTATGTCCATCGTGGTTTTCGAAGGACATGCTCATGTACCTCGGACTTGCTGGTTGCTGAGGGGAAGTGGGCGAGGTTGTTGCATCCGTGTACACGCACGGACATTGTATTCATAGATTTTAGCAAAGCTGGTGACAAGGTCCCGCATGAACGGATTTTGTTAAGAATGATAAATTGGTATCGCTGAAAATCTTCTCTCTTGGATATCACAATTCCTAGATGACCGCACCAAACAGCTGAAAATGGTCGGACCCTTTGTCCCCTCCTGTTCTAATAACCAGTGGGGTACCTCCACCCGGAACTTTTCAATATCTTCAATGACTTACCGTCCACGCTTCAAACGGGATGCATAACCTACGCTGATAAGCTGAAACTGTGGATGAAAGTATCCAGCTTGGAAGACGTTGACAGATTACAATCGATGAACGATCTGCTCCATGACTGATGGTCAAAGTGGTAGTTGACTATGAGTCGTGATAAATGTTCGGTTCCTCAAGGTGGTACATTTGGCCAGTTTGGAGATTACCACATTGGTGGCTTCTTGCCTAGAAACATCACTTATGAGAGGGATCTTGGAGTGATAGCGTCCCTGAATTTGAAGTCTATCCAAAACACCCAGAAGAGATTCGCCGTGGCCTACAGGATGTCCCACGTTATACGCAGAACTTTCTTCCGCCTGATCCCTGTGAATTTCCGACTTCTGTTTGCCGCAAACGTGCGTCATGATTCTCGAAGACGGACTATCTGCCGCCAATCATCTCACCAAATCCAAAGGTGATATGCTTGAGAAGGTACAACGGCGTGGATCCAAATCTGTCCATAAGTTTTGGGAGTTGTCTTGTTCCCTCTGGTACCTAAATCCATTCTCCATGGATTATCGTCGTCGCCGAGGAGTTTAATTTCTGTCCGACGTATTCTTAGATGAGAGGGAGGGGTGAGCTACAAGTATTCTTGAAATTCAGAACTCAGGGCTCGGCAAGAGGTCACATTTTGAGACTATTTAAACTGAGGATACTCCGTGTGCGGACCAGTCTAGTTTATCCACTCGCTAGTGTATGACTGCAACCGCTAACTGGAGTCGACCGTCGATGCCCAGACAGAAGAACGTTTCGAACGACGGTTGGGTTCTAAGCTAATTAGGTCGGTATCATGCTATTTAAAATGCAGCTGCAATTGCTGCATAACGATCGGGAAGCAATGTGGCTGACAAAGGACCTTCCTTCTGCTTTTACTCGTCCAATGGTGTTTGCTCATTATGGCCAAGAACGCAATCGGGTGGCCACCGGAGTGTAGTCTGTAGTGGAAAGGTGCAATATATAAATCGAAGATTTGACATTGCGCAGACAGCCAGCGAGCTAGTTGTCTTCACAATGACCTAAAGGAACCGGACGAGTCAGGTTGTAACAGCAACCGTCCACCTCACGATACCTCAACGAAAGAAAATCAACAGGTCATTGGTTAGGTTGTCGAATACAGCTGAACCTAGCCAACTTAGGCATTTTGTGTTCACTGAGCTGTAGGGGACAAAGAAAGGTCCCAAGTCAGCGCCACCATCAGTGCAGAAAAGTGGCATGTGTCATCGTGGTCAGCAGTCCTAGCGGGCTGTGGCAGTCGCAGCAGAACTGCGATCCTAGTGTCTTGTGCAACTGGAAGTCAAACGGCCGCTTGAAACCTTTCTCAGACAGAGCACCGATAACGTACAACGGAAGGCAGCTCCAGTCGTTTATCGTACGGATGGATATGGCTACAGTAGAGTGAACATGAAGCCTCCACCGTTTAAAAGACTTCAAATTGCGACCTCGTGTCAAGCCTCCCGTGTTGAGCTGAAAAAACTGTTGTCACCAGCATCAACAACAGCAGCACATAAGCTATTTGAACCGATGCTTCGCTGCCATACAACCATGAGAACATATGGAATAAAGAATAGAAGAGAGAGAAGGGGACGCACATCATCGTTGCGGACACACTAGTGCTATCCGACTACAGCAATGCTTCGCAGACAACGATGATCAAAGACTTGAGGCGCCTCAGATCTTCAGACCGAAGGGTCCAAGTCTCACTACCATAGAGCAGGACGGTCCTCACTGTGACCTTGTATACACGGCCTTTCTGAAGGAGGGAATCTCCCCTCTGTCGTCAAAGATGCCGCAGGTTCAAGAAGGCAGCTCTGGCCTCTACAATGCGTGAACTAACGTCCGTTTCCATGCGCCCATCGTTGCTGATGCAGCTGCCAAGAAAAATTAAATGATAAACTACATCGAGTTCCACGTTAGCAAGAGACAAGGCAGTTTTAGTGGTCCTGCAGCAACGCTTTGTACTCTGAAGGTGCGAAGCGTATACCAAATAATTAGACCAGTCTAGACAGGCTATTCAGGGTTGATTGTGCCGCCGCAACACCTTCGAAAAGCAAGACGATATCGTCCGCATAATCAAGATCAACTAACCTTTCACTAGGCAGGACCTAAACGCCTAAATCGTGAGATTTCTCAAGGAACGCTCCATGATAGAATCCACGACGAAATTGGACAGAAATGGGAAAATCGTACAACCCAGACGAACGCCACTTCTGGTCGGAAAGCTATCCGACAGGTCACCTAAGACCCTAACTCGAAATGTAGTGTTCGAGTATAAAGCACGTAGG